TGGCAGCTAACAATAGCAGCAACGTTTATAAAGTTTCTCACAGTGACAGGAGTTTTTCTTGGTTAACAAAAAGGAAAGATATAACCAAACAGCTTTGGGTAAATGAAGGAGCTGTGACACTCACAAGGGTAGAGAGAGACGAGAGGTGAGCAATAGAGGATGAAAGAAAATTGAAAATAAGAAGAAAGAAAGATATTCTCCTTCTGAAATTCTTCGTGGTTATCCACTCCAAAAAAGGAAAGCTGGCACTCTCTTTCTAGGGGAGAGCGAGATGTCTAATCACACTGATGTTGCAATAAATATAATGTTAGAAAACAGCCAAGAGTTGATCTACTCACTTTATGATGACGCTAATCACACCGATGACATTGATGGAGTGGTGATGGTTTATTTTACAGCCAAACAAGTTATTGAGCTGGCTGGAAAGCAGCAAACCACTTTCACAGACCTTGTGGCCCAGTTAGGCTTGGCATCTGCTCTGAGGCCGGATGGTGAATACACTTTGCTGGCGCCTGTGAATAATGCATTTTCTGGTACGTTCTAGACTTCTTGTTCCTCTTCCTACGAGCTTTTACTTCTCCATGGTCATTTGCAGTAAGAAATAATAGACGTTTCACCAGGTGTTGATAAGTTTCTGCAGAGGCTACACATACAATGTGTTAGAACTATGTTGTCTCTACTAAACTGTACTTCATTTCAAACATTTAATTCTAATGAATAATAACCTATAGGGAGCCAAAATTTGTGATACAGGGAATTCAGTTATTCTGTAAATATAATCATGTTTCCAATACACATATGGATGGATGGATGGATTACTAAATATTAAGAAAAATACAGCTACTTTGTGTATTTGACATCAGCATAATAATATTTAGGAATAAATAGCCATATTTTGTACCTCAGAATTTGTAAGGTGAGTATATTAAATTATAAATTAAAAAGAGAGACTATTATGCACTTTTATATTATTATGTGATGTGTTATTAGAAGTAGTTCATCTATCTAAGGACAGTGTTTAGACTAATGCAATCTGTCACTTTTTCCAGAAAAAATATTTCATGTAGACATCTTTGTTAGGCAAAATTTTGACAAAAAAGGCAAGTATAACTTTTTTGTACATTTTCCAAATACTAAATTATGAAATAGAAAATTATTTGTTATTAAAACATGCAAATTCCTAGGAATGCTATTTTCCTCTTTGTAATAAAGATGCCCATGTATATCGGCACTAACCCACCTTTAAGAGATTGAGTGCTTTCTCGTTCCAATAATAAAGATGAATTTACTAATGATTCATCAATAGGGAATCTATTGGGTATGTAATTGTCAGAAATGGATAGATGTGACTAATGGATATCTAATTGTCAGAAACAACCTTTGCCAGCACTGAGTTTACCTGTTGCCAATGACCACCATAAAACTATGCAGGACTCACAGAGATTAAATCTATC